AACGAGTGTACTTTAGTTTAATTTTTTTTTTAATTTACATCAAACTTTGTTAATAAATCACTTTTATGCAAAACGTATAAAGTTTATATTATATATAACTAATAATGCAAACACATATCATAAAATAATACAAGCCTAGAAAGAAGAATGCAGGTAATTACTCATAAATTATTCTATTTTTATTTTTTGTAACAAATCTTTTTTATTCCACATTTTCATGCAACAAATTAATAGACACTTCCAAGCGAATATGCAAATATATTTTAATTACCCATTCGGCGCATCGTTCACACATTCATTCATCATAAAATATGGGCTCGTTGCAAGCAGCATTTTTCGCGCAATTAATAGCCTCGTCGATATTCCCTCAACAGCAAAGCACATACACACAACACATGCATGCAGCAAGTGCATGCCACATGAGCACACACCAAAATGCAGCACTTGCAACGAACGAAATTCAACTGTCAACCTCAACACTGACAGATTAATCAAACAATTATTATGTTTATGATCATTGTTATTGTTATTKTAAGTGTTATTTTTGTTACTACTACAGCGGCTGGTGTAGTAATTATCGGAACTGCGCATCAAGCAAAGATCGCGCCATAAAATATATATATGTATGTGTGTACAAGTATGTACATACATATATGCATATCAATTGTAAATATATTTACAAGCGCGTGCGCAACGAACGCCAACAACAACAAGACGGCCAGCAAAAACGATAACAAAAATATTCCACTGAAAATGTCTGCTGGAATTGCAATAATTATTTGTGAGTTCACTCGCCGTTTGGCTGGTATTGTTATCATTGCTGTTATTGTTATTGTAATTATTATAACGATTATTGTTATGCTCATGTTGACGTTTTATGATGGCATTGCAACGCCAACAACAATAAAAGTCGAAGACGATAGTGAAGCGTCGGTTGGCACGAAATTGATTTGTACGCATGTTATCTGTCACACCACCAGCGCTTCCATAAACACATGTGCAACAACACTGCCAGTTAGCTGCAACACACGACGTTGTCAGTGGCAGCAGTAAGTGTGATGTGTGTATTTTGACGGAAAAAAGCGTCAACGTCTGCGCTAAGGAATTTCTGCGATGCATTCTTGAAGTCCCTTTGGAAGTTGCACGTAAGGACAAGGCAACACTAGCGCGTCCAAGTCACAAGCTGGTCAACATATTATACCTACTATAGGTATATACGTTAATGTTGCAATAAACTAAGCAGTTTTGGTAAAGAGGGGGCGCGTTGTGTCTGGTAGAGTGTAATAAAACAGCGGGCGGAGTGTTTAGCAATTTTGTATGTGATTTTTAGCAAATGTAACATATTCATATTTAAATGCAACAATTTGTTGAAAGCAACTAATTTTTTGTACTTGATGTATAATTACATAAGGGCGAGTATGCGATTTTTGGCAGATGCAACTTGCAACATCTACTTGCAACAATTTGTRGCAAGCAATTAATTTTTGAAATTGATATAATATTACGTATAACAACTGCTAAAACACAAAATTTTCATAGAAAACTGTTTATAACAGTTCCTTTAATAACGCGCACATTGGTGAGTGCAAGCAATAACTGCCAGAAGACCGTGAACAGCAGGTAAGTTGATTTTGTTTCAACAACATCTTTCAACAACTTGAAGATGCCAATACTGCAAGAAACTAGTTTGACTGCTTTTATGCGCAGTTAAACTGTGCCACCAAATATGTAAATAAGCAAATAGCAACAGAGCAAAGGAATTTTGAAGGCTTTATAAGGAAAAGGTGGAGCATGGAAGGGTAATGTAAAACTATAGAAAAAGTATTTTAGATAAAATTTTAAAATGTCAAATGTCAAAAATATTAATGTTAATGCACGTGCCACATTAAAAAATTTAACCAGTTTGAACTGACAAAAAAAAATGTTTCCAATTTTCGATAAGATTTTAGTTTAATTATAGCCAGCGCAACATTTACTCATCGCTTTTTTGGCGCTACACTTGCCCAACTCACCGCATATTCGCGGGTTGCACTCAAATTTGCATTACAGCAACGCGCATCGCGCTCATTTCCTTATCGCTGCTGTTCATCGTGCTCACTTGTACACACATATACACTCCACGCTAAAAAAGGTTAATAAAACATTTAAAACGTTCAAAGCTTTCGACTAATGCACTGCCTTGCATCCACAAGTGCAAGCGCCATGCCAGACTGCCGCGTTGTTGTTGCTGCGCATGCGTCACAGCTGCGCGTACTTTAGTACGCAAACTTTGTAGGTTAATATATGTATACGCATGCATATTTGGTATGTGTGCCTGCGGGCAATTCGACTTTTCTGCATATTTATGCGATTTTTGCATTTCAGCTGGCGGTTTAGTTATCCACACGAGTGCTTTGCTGCAGATGCGAGTAGTGAAGAAGATAAATTGGTTTGCGTTCAGCAAAATTCTATATTCCACATGAACTTTGTTGTTGTTGTTGTGTGTTTATATGTGTGATTGCATACTATAGAAAGGGTGCCACAGCTTTTGGAGTGTTGTGCGTTTGTGTGTGTGATTTGCTTTTTAATTTTGCACTTTTTCTTTTTGAAACAGTTGCCCGCCATTTAAGCGTGTTTCAGGTTTTACGCGCTATTTTTTGCGCGCTTCATTTTATACGCAGTCCGCTCACATGATTTTTGTTGCGCTATTTTTGCACATGGATACACACAAAAAAGCTAATTTGCATGCGATTTGCCGGCAGTAAGTCTTTTATTGTATCAGCCATGCAGCCAGCCATCTTTTTCGCGCCCAACATTTGTTGGTTGGTCGCGGAATTGCTTGTTGGTGGTGGCAAAGAACGGAAATTTAGTGGCGCAGGTATACTCGCCTTTCAAATTCAGACTTTGTGTTAAGGTGGCTTTGAGAACGGTGGATGAAATGTGCGGCTCGAGTGTGTGTTGGTGTATGGAAGTGGCAAATGATTTCTTATAGATTTTAACTTCGAAGTAAGGAGTTTAGTTTTCGGTAGTTTTATAAGTATAATGGAGAGCTTAAAATATGTTTATATTAATTTTTTTATTTTATTTTTTTAGATTTTTTTTTTTTGTAATTTTTTAAAATTTTAATGTTTTTGGTTCAACTTGAGCACAATTAAACAAAAAAGAAAAAAATAATGTTCTCCCTTATTAACAATTTATGTATACATATGTAATGCAATGGAGATAATAAAATATTTCTGAACTATTAAGTAAATTTTTTTGTCAATCTCGAACAAATTAATGATATATCAGCTTTCAAAACAATATTCTAATTTGAAAAAAAAAATTACTTAAAACATCTATTTTTCTTTAAACTATTTTACCCTCATCAGATGCCTTACAAATGCCAGCATTCTTTCCCAGCACTTCACATAACAACAACCCATCCAAGATAACACTCAGCTAGTCACTCTTCTGTCCCCAAAACACATTCCATTTGATCTTGCCATTAATTGTTTTTCTCATTTTAATGCATTTATCAGCATCGACAATCTTGAAAAAGTAACGCATACATAATTTTTTAATCATTCATTGTGTCGTTAAGCAACAAGTTTTGACTAAAATGAGTGCCGTAGGAAAAGGTACAAAATTTACATATTTAATACATGCATACGACTACACATATGCATATAAACAGACTTGTAAATATGTATGGGCAGCTTGTAGTATGCGTTTGCATGTAACCAAGTCCGCAGAGCGCTGGCTGCAAAAGCAATGCATCAGCTTGCCACATTGATTGTTAAAACAAGAAGAGGTAAGTCGGCTATCTCTTAGATACACATATACTATATAGTTA